ACATAATTAGTGATTAAACTTTCCATTAACAATTGTGGTTGTGCTAGATAAAAAAAAAAAAAAAATCTTTATTCTAACGCATATCCATTCAAGTGGTCAAACATTTACTGAGTACTAAAAGCTCTGAGGAATAGTTGAAATAACTCAACTTCAAAGACCAAAATGAAGAATTGATAATCCCCACTTCATCAATGAGATCCTCCCCAGGAAGCCTTCTGTGGAAGCACTAGGGCATGGACCCATCATTTCTCCTTCTGGCTGTGTTCCACCCTGGCCTTGGAACAACTCCTTCCTCTAAAGTCACTGGACACTGTCAGTTCCCTGAAAATCCACTATGCGCTGATCATTTAGTTCCCCGCTAGAAATGCTGAGGCTGATCCTTATTATGTCTCAAGTTGTGAACAAACAGCTTCAGCTCCAGCCCATCCCTAGACCCGGCAGGTAGTCCAAGAGCCTAGACAAAAATCTCTGCTTCCACTGTGCCCCACCACAGCCCACTGAGTAAGTGCCCTCAAGTCTAAATGTTCTAGGAACCCACTTTCATGAACAAACAGAATTGCTTCATGTGGGCATGGCCACTATGTCCCACCCCTGGTGACTTTTGCCATCTGTCCACAGGCTTCCCACCAACAAACACAAGCCTGCCAAAATTGAGCAAAGAGTGTTCTCTATCCCCAGTTCTCCAAAGCACCTGACCAGGCCCTGGCAAGGCCAAGGTCAGTTCATGGCTAGCACTGGTTCTGGACTGACAGGGGCTGCCTCTTTCCTCTCTTCCCAGAACAAAAGCCTTGGGAGGTTGGCCAAGCCCCAACAGCTCCTTTATATCATACACCCTTCTCTCTTTTCCAGAAAGATTTCTAAAGCCACCACACTGGGTTTTCTAGGACAAGAAATTCACAGCCAGGATCAGCAGTTTCTATAGAGACCCCAGGATGAGCCTGGCCAGGACTCAAACAGCCAAGAGGCCCAGGGCACCTGGCCAGAGGCTGGGAAAGCTAGACACAAAGGCCACACTTGGGACAGACACCAAATTGCAGAGCAGACAGAGGGTAACAAGCTGCTCCAGACACAGCCCAGAGACTCACAGGAAAGATGGCCACCCCCAGGCCTACAAAATTGGCCTTAGGGCTTCCTGCCCCCGAAAGGTGGCCTCAGCCAGCCTTCCCTGCATAGGTCCCCACTCACAATTAGGAAGATGCTGCTGGCTACTCTACTGTTTGGTTGTTTCCATGGTAACCTAGTCCCTGGCAAGATGCCCAAATATTATTACAATCATCCAGAGGAGAGAACACACTCCAAGTAGCTGTCTCTTTGAGCGTGTGTAATAGCCACAGTGTGTACGTGCTGTCTGAGTCTCCAAAGGTACTTCATGTGACTGCTTGTCCTGTGTGCGTCTGTGTCCAGATAAGTAAGTACATAGACAGAAGCAAGTTGAGTTAGGGTGGGACCTGCCTGGAAATCCAGGCACTAGGGGTAAATAAGTGCCCCAACCTGGTACATAGGCATATACTTATACACTGCCTTAACCACCTCATTCACATACTATATTTGCAAATAGACACCTGCTCCTACAAAGCTGCAGGAGTCTCTTCCTCTGCTCCAGCATTTTTGAGGTTTTGGACAAGAGCATCCCGCAGGCCCCTTTCTGGGCTCAGGGCAGTGAGGGAAAGGGCTGCTATTGACTGAAAAGCTCCTTGTTCCCTCTAGAAGCAGTGAGCCTCCTGGCTTTCCAACCCCATCCCTAAGGAGTCACAGAAAGCCACCTCTGGGGGTGGGGAGAGGCACTGATTGGCTCCTCACCTGATTGCTATGGTTACCTGCAGGGCCTTGCCAGCAGGTGCCAGGAGCAGCAGTAAACAGGAGCTCAAGTGTCCCCAGAGCATCCCCTCCCCATTTCCCTGTCCAGGACCAGCAGGACCTGTGTTTCTGACACCAAGTCCCAAGATGTAAGAAACTTCTGTGCTGAGGGAGGGAGGGAAGAGGGAAGACGTACAACTGTCACTATCGTAAGGGAGAGCCCAGGAACAAAGCCTGCTTCAGAAGAAGTGACATAGGTCTGAAGAAGCAGAAATGGGTGTGGGGGAAGGACCATTTGGAACTGGACTCAGTGGAGGTTGGGAGAAAGCCAGTCCCAACTACATTTCTAGCAAACCTGCATATCTACCAGTACCATCATCCCACCCTCAATTCAGCCTTCCCCTCATCTGAGGTCTCAGGTCTCTGATCTCTTTGGCCTCAGGCAGGAAAGGGGCTCAGTCAGTACCCAGCCCCCAGTTCCAACTCCCTTGTCATTCAATCTCAGAAGTGTCTCTCCCTAAGCTCCCAGCTTTCTGCTGACAGACATACCACTTGAAACCAGTCTCTTCAATTTCCCCATAGAAGGAGCCAGCGGACTCTGGCAACAGAGAGCCTTGCTGCTCCCTGGAAGGCCACCTATAGCCCCCTGCCTTGCCTATGCCTCAAATGAAACTAGCTAGCTCACTCATTAGAAAGTCTCCAGGCCTTGGGAGGTCATTCAAGGTCACATCCAAGTGCTAGACTAGCAGAAGTACATGGGATCTTAGCATGTTGTGCATGCAGTCTTCTCATTTTACAGATTAAAAAAAAAAAAAACAAAACTTCAAAGTGACTTGCCCAAGGTCACACACAAAACAGGAACAGTGCCAGGACAAGAATCTGTCTGCCTCCTGTTCTAGTGCTCCTTGCACACTGGCACGAGGTGCGGCTCCTCACTCAGCTGAGAAGCTGAGTAGGCGGGCAGAAAGGTGGAGAGCCACTGCCTAGAAGGGCAGGAAGCCTGTACAGTGGGCCTGCTGGGAGGGAGGTTACCGCCTTACACCACTTCCAAAGCTCCACAGAAACAACAAACCAGAGCAGCACATTAAGACTAAGATCCAGAGTTCTCAGCCTCAGCACTCCTCCCAGCTTCATGAACCTAACTATGCAAACCTCATGTGTTTATGAATTGGTGGGGGGTTCTGCTCTGGGATACTGTGAGGCTCTCTTCTTGCCCTAACACTGGCACAACCTTCATGGAAAAAGACTTGAAGCCTCCTCTACCCACCTCTCAATTCCCAAATATCAAAGACAAAGCTAAAAAATATACCCAGGGCAACACTGCCAGATGCACACACCCAGAGCCAGACACACACACCCTCTTCAGGTAAGCTTGGTCACACACATGCCAAACACTTGGCCAGACACACAGACACATAGGGACAGGCCCCCACTATACAGATGCAGAAACCATCCCCATCCACTGAATCACATCCCTGCCTGAAACCAGAGCTACCTGGTCCAGGAGTAAATTATAAGTCTTCTAGCAACAAAGGCAGTTCAGCCCCCAACCCCACTCTGGGGCCAGAGGCTGGAGGACTGCAGTTGCCACTTGACCTGCATAAAATACAACCTCTTCCTGCTCGGGTTCTCTCCATTCCCATGGCAACAGCTCCATCAACCATGATCTCTCAGGGAATCACCTCCGGCACTCCTCCCTTCCTACTCACCTCTGGATACCTCAACTTGATTGAACAGGACCAGGGTACTTAGGGTCTGGATCCTAGAATCTGTTTCCTGCCTCATTCCAAACAGGGTTCTAAGTGCTCAAGCTCTGGCCTCAAACCAAAGGACCCCCTGGGAAAACCTCTCCAAAATGTTGCAACAGAGCTGGCTTTATGCTCCTCCAAGTAATAACACCTTAGAGCAAGGGGCACGCGGGGGGTGGGGTGGGGGAGTGGGGTGGTGGTCAAGAGTTTTAAGAACAGCACAAACTGCAAGAAGTCCAGAACTGTGAGATTGTGAGAACAGCCTAGGAGAGCTGCTCCCTGAGCCGAGGAGAGCCCTGGAGAGACTGAGGCAACTTGGGGGTGGAAGGATATGCAGGGCTGGGGGCTGAGACACAAAAACCTGGAGAAAACTTGAGATAACACCTGTACACATTTACACACACACACACACACACACACACACACACACACCCCTGGATGTAGTCAATCAGAGGAATTTGGGTAGACCGAGAGGAGACAGGAAGGGCAAGGGGTGTCTGCAGGCCCAAGGTCCCCCAGTCCATAGAGCTACCAGCTGGAGTGTTCAGGGAGGAAAGGGTGGCCAAATCCACAGTGGAAGAAGGGCCAGCTCATCAGACCCCTTGGCCACCGCCGGTGAAAGGGAATAGTAGGCTAAATCTCCCCTCATTTCCATTCTACCTCCTCCACCAGGGCTTCCCCCGAAGCCCAGGTCAAAGGATCAAGCACCCCAGTGACCGAGTGGCCACTCCCTCCTTCCCTAGAGCCAAACTTTCGGTGGGGCCCCAGAAGGGGTGCTAGGGAAAAGCTCGGCCGAGGTGGTACAGGGAGGGGGCGGGGCGCCCCGCACAGGGACCGGGGAAAGGGACCGCTGGGGGAGGTGCCCAAGACCCGGGCCCCAGCAGGAAGGGCGCCCTCCCCCGGCATCGCTGCAATCGGAAAGCCCAGTCCCCTTCCTCCTGACCTGGCGCTGGCGATGCTCAGTTCAGTGCCCCCGAGAGAGGCGACCCCCGTCTGGCTCGAAAAGGGCAGATCGGCCAGAGCCAGTCTGTTCCCGCTTGTGGGGAGATGGGGGGGAGAACCAAGATTCACCCCAGCGTGTGCCCCCAAAGCTTCCTCGTGGCCACCCGGACCCTCCCCCTCGATACCTCGGGGGCAGGATCTAGCAGAGGACTGCTGCACAAAGAGGAGGTGGTCGAGGGAGAAGCCAAATCGTTAAGAGGGGGAATCCACTTCGGCCATCTTGGAAGGGAGGAAAGGAAAAAAAGGGACAGAGAAAAGGGAGAAAGAAAGGCGGACGGGGCGAGGCGGACAGCGGCTGTCCCGGCAGGAGGGGGACGCGAGCGGAAGGCCAGGCCCCAGCTCCCCGCTCCCACCGGGTCTGCGGGTCACGATGGACTGGTCCCCTTTGCCAGGCTCAGACGCTTATGGGGTAGCAGAAGGAGGGCCGGCGCAAGTTGGCGTCCGCTTACCTGGCTTCGGGGTCCGGTGGGTCTCGGGGAGGGGGGGATGGGAGGGAGGGAGGGAAG